CTTTACTGGGCTATCTTGATTATCACTTCAGAAGTTTTTTTCTCTTACTTAATTGGCCTCTCAGAGTTGGTAAGACAACTCCCACCTTTTCATGCTCTCTGTATGTGTGTGTATATATATGTCCTCAATATATGTTCCATTCTATGCATCCGAAGAAGTGGGCTATAGCCCACGAAAGCTTATGCTCAAATAAATTTGTTAGTCTCTAAGGTGCCACAAGTACTCCTATTCTTTTTATTACTCGGTGGCCCCTATGCAACTGGCTGCTACCAGCAGGTGAAAGAATCTAAAGACTTGCATGACTCCTATACAAATAAGCTGCAAACACTGGGTGTCTCCTTAAGCACAGGGAGACAGCACTGACAGAACCAGTCAGGACAGCCTTAGTCCTGCAGCCTGCCCATTACTTCCTCCCGTTCCTCTGGTGTCCTTCCCAGGGCAATGCCTCCAAAAGCATGCCCATCCTTCAGCATGTTCCAGGCTGAACCTTGGGAGAGGGGCTTCCGGCTGATCCTTAGTTCCTCCTAGATAATATGGGCTTTAATGCAAACATAGGAGCGTTCTCTCCACCCCAGTATTGCCCCTTTCATGAGCCCTTGCTACCCAGCACCCTGCTCCTATGCTAATGGGTCTCTCCCCTCCCCAGCCTCTCTGCAGGTCTGGTCTGCTGCCGAGGTTGGAAACAGGAAGGCAGGGACTGCACAGCTGGTGAGTCATCAGTGGCTTTACATCTCAGGCCTTTGTCATTTTGACCAGCCCGTTTCAGGCTGTTTGGTGTGCATTTCCTGTATCTCAGTTCTTTGTTGCTCAGAGTCCAACGATATTGTGGGAAAGTGAGGGTGAGGGGGGTTTAAACCTTATGCATAGTACTAAAGCTATGCCCTGGCTGCACTGAGCTATCTACAGGAGCTTTTGGGGGATGAGGGAGCCATTTGTGACCCCCTGGCTATACCTCATTTCCACTTCCTGCTTCTTCCCTAGAGGCTGAAGGGTGTTCATTTCAGGTGCAGGATATTCTGCTGGGGCATGATGCAAACCAAGGCAAGGGTTGCAGAGCTGTAAGGCCTCTCGTGAAGTGCAGCTTTGTGCCTTATCGCATCTGTCCAGCTGCGCCCATGTGCAGGATTAACGTAGGCTGAAGTAGGAGGGGAGCACTCCGAGCACCAGCCATGCCGGTGGGAGAGCTGCTCTCCCAAGCTGGGGAGAGGTGGGGGGAACCTCCCATTTGCTCTTCACAGAAAAGGGGAGCCATGCTGCTTTCCGCCCCCATCCCTTTAACCCTTGCTCAAATGACCCTTCCCTCAGGATTTGCTACAGAGCCCATCATCCCAGCATCTAAGTGCTGCATGAGCTGTTCACTCCATAGGATGTGAGGCAGCCATTTCTCCTCAAAAAGCCTCCCAGAAGCCATCACCTGTAGGTCACTTCTAGCCTCAGTCTCAAGGTATTCTAGGTATTGGCCGTTTCTAGCCTCAGTCTCAACTTCCTGGCTGAAGGCCAGGGCTGGGGCCAGTTGGAGCAGATTGTGTCCCAGGCACCACAGGGCTTGGAGCAGAATCCCCCACCTCTCTCTGGAGCCCACACATGAGGGCACAGGGGGGTGCTGATGTGTAGATGGAGTCAGTGACAGGTTAGGTGGCTGATCCAAATCCACGGGGACAAGGAGCTGGAGGCCAAAGGGCCTTGGCCCCTGGCGGCTCTGGAGAAGCTGCTGGTGCTCAGCCTATCTGCACTTCCTCTCCCTGGCTAAGTGCCTGCCAGCGGCCTGGTGCTGGGGGAGCCTGACTCCTGATTAGCTTGTCCTGCTGTTGACAGCGCTGTGTGAAGGGGAGGATGCTTGCAAGGTGGATGAAGTGTGTGTGAGACCTGGGATCTGCCTCTGCAAACCTGGTTTCTTTGGAGCCAACTGCAACTCCCGTGAGTATGGGCATGGAGGGGGCAGGGCAGACTCTCACCCTTAGACATACAGAAAATCCCCTGTGATCCCAGAGACTCCATCTGTGACACAGTGCTCACTGCACCCACCAGGACGTTGGCTGGGTCCCAGGAGGTGAGCTCAGGCCAGAGGTCCCAGCATGATGGCACATGGTCACAGTTAAGTGCTCCGAGTGCCCAGCAGCCTCTGGCCCATCCATGAGCACAAGCATTTACACCCACAGGTTACAGCACAGCAGATCCAGTGTTTGGGGCATGCTGCTCTGATGTCTCCTCCCAGTTGGGTGTGGGGTGTCTCTTTGGTAGTCCCCACTCCTTAGTCTCCCTGCAGCATAGGACCTACAAGGGTCTACCAGCCTGTGCCCTTCCATGGCTTACAACGCCCCCTAGGGAAAGAACACCAAACCCATTGCCAGATTGCTCTCCTCCCTGTGGCACAGAGACTCCTGTACTCCTGCCTGTTGCTATCTGTTATCTGTCTTGTTCCCTTTGTAGGCTGCCCTGACCAGTACTGGGGCTCGGACTGCAAGAAGAGCTGTTCATGCCATCCCAATGGGAAGTGTGACCCTGTGAGCGGCCAGTGCACTTGCAATGCCAACCGCTGGGGAGTGCTCTGCGAGTTCCCATGCCAGTGTGGGCCTCATGGCCACTGCAACACCCGCACTGGAGCCTGTCACTGTGAGCCAGGCTGGTGGGGACCGAACTGCAAGAAGCAGTGTCTGTGCAGGGTGGCCGGCTCCCACTGTGACCCTGTCTCAGGGCAGTGCGTCTGCACCCAGGGCTGGTGGGGCAGGAGATGCAGCTTGAGATGCAACTGCCACCTCTCACCCTGTGCCCAAGACTCAGGCAGGTGTGAGTGCAGGGCTGGGTTTTGGGGGCCATTGTGCCAACATCATTGTGACTGCCTGCATGGGAACTGCAACCCTCTTGATGGGCATTGCAGCTGCAATCCTGGCTATCAGGGCAGGAGCTGTGGGGATCCCTGTCTTGCCGGTTATTACGGATCTCAGTGCAGATACAGGTAAGAGGAATATCACTCTGCGTGCTTGTGATAGGGTATAGTGCCCAAAGGTGACTGCACAAATCTGGGCTGCCTAGGGAGTGCCAATGCCCAGAAGCCTGTGTTCCCTGCTGGGTATGCAAGAGTCTAGGACCAGACTGGGAGGAGTTCAGGGAGTGGGCAGCTGATGCTTGTTAGACTGTAGGCTGCAGCTGTTGCATATAAAGGGACTGAGAGGAAAGGGGCAGCTAGGGTTTGGATTGGCTGCCCTATTCATACTCTGGGAGGGGTGTGGGGAGATATTATTTTGTGAGCTGGTCTCCTGGCTGGTGAGGGAGAGCCTTTCCTGAGCCAGTGGCCAGGGAGGCCTGGCCGTGATCAGCTGAGGAATGGGGCACAGGACTGCCCCCTATGGGAAAGTCTTGTAGACTTTAGTAGAAAACTATAGATAGCTCTTCTGTAGGCTGATTCAGGGCCTACAGAGAGGATTTCTTTCTCCGTTAGATTCTATAGGGTTTTCGAGTAATATCTTCAAAACCCTGTTAAATTCCAGTAAGACCTCATGGGATGTTATCATTCCTATTAAACTCTGTAGAATGTTTCCATAGGGTGCAACTGCCTCCATTGTCACTTAGGCTCAGCGGGGACAATATCACAGCTGTACAGAGGGAAACCTCTGAGGAATGCCAGCAGTGGACACCTGTCTCAGAGAAGGGGACTGATGCCTCTGCCCTACTGCTGTGTGTGTGGAAGCACTGTGGCCAGTGTATGTGAGGGCTGTGCAGGCTGTCAGCGACCTGAGCTCTTTTGGGAGCAGATTGCTTTGTTCCCAGGGCTGTTGCTGGTGGGAGCATGTTCTGTTTCTCTGCCCGATTTCTTTTGGTTTGGGATGTGGGGGCCACTGTTCCCCCAGCTCTGATGCTGATTGTTCCTTACATCTCTGACTGTACAGCTGTGGGCACTGCAAGCAGAGCCAGCCCTGCTCTCCTGTGGATGGGTTCTGCCTGGCATGTGACTCTGGCTGGAACGGTACCCTCTGTAAGAAGTTGTGCACGCCTGGATACCATGGGGAGAACTGTGCACAGATGTGTCCCAGCTGTCGAAAAGGGGAGACCTGTCATCCAGAGACAGGGGCTTGCTTGAACTGTGACCCTGGCAAGACAGGACCCAGGTACGGACCCCTCTTTTCCTGTGTGATGTTTACCTTGTGGAGCTCAATTCTCTGTTGTAGCAGACATCCTCTGTCCTCAGGTTTCCTTGAGCGTAAAGTAGAAAATATTTGTCTGAAAGCTTCATTCACAGTACTGTAGCTTAGACACTGTGTGATGATTATCCATGGATAGACGGACAGCTGTCAGACACCTGAGCTAGGGATTCTGGCCGGAGATTACCCAGCAAGCTGTTCAGTGGCATGGCCTCCCTTCTGGCCTAATGTGTGCAGAGCAAGGCAGTGTTCAGACTCGCTGGGATGTCTCTCTCCGTGCTGTCTGCAGAAATCCTGGCGTCAGATGTGATACCAGAGAACAGTGAAAATCAACAGCAACCAACCTCTCTTCAATACTTGTCTTGTTGAAGTCAGAGACGCCCCATGCATCCCCAGTAGGACTCTACAACACAATCAGCCGTATATATTTACAGGCTTGTCTATGGCTCCCTTTCCTGTAGTATCTTCAGTATCTGGCCTCCCCCGCCGTGAGTTAGGGAAGATTATCCCTATTTTACAGAAGGGCTGAAGCACAGAAGGGCTAAATGTCTTTCCCACAGTCACTCATGGAGTCTGTCAAAACCAGGAACAGAACCCAGAACTCCTGGGTCCTTCTCTAGTGCCCTAACCACCAGATCACTGTTCCCATCCTCAAGTAGGATTAGGAACAAGCCAGGGCCCTGTGGAACAACGTTAATATCAGTGCAAATGTAAAGCAGGCTCTGCACTGTGACACCGTGACAGAGCTGCTGACCCTCAGACTAAGCTACAGCCCCTCTGCATTGCCAGTCTCTCTCCCATGAGCCAGCAGCCAGATTCTCCCCTCTCTTTGCAGCTGTGACGCACCCTGCCCTGCTGGAACATTTGGAGATGGATGCCGGTTCACCTGTCCAGACTGTGTTAATGGGAGCTGTGATCCAGTGGCTGGGGAGTGTATCTGCCAGGCTGGCTATTGGGGCACCAGGTAAAAGCGAAGGGAGCTGCAGTGGGCAGAGGCTGGGATGTTTCCAAACGAGCATTTTCCATTTCTTTCTGTCTCTCCCCTCAGCTGCAATGAGACCTGCCCAGAGGGTTTTTTTTGGAGCGAACTGTTCTTCCCCCTGCCACACACACTCTGGGGACTGTGTGCTCAGTAAGTGATATCCTGCACTGCACCTTTTCATTCATTCCCTATTAACCAGCTCTTCTCCTGCCCAGAGGAGAGAATTGGTTCCTTCTCCCCCAATATAAACCATGCAAGACACCAAAGGTTGCTGTGGAAGCCAAGGTGCCCTCTGGGCTCCAGAACGCAGGCTGGTTCCCAGCAAAGATGCTCTGCACAGTGTCATGCAGTACCTCTACTGCCATGCAGCATGAGCCTCCAGGAAACTCCCTTCCCTCTTTTCCTCTGTCTCTGTAGATCAAGGAAATGAGCTCTTTCCTATCTCATTTCTGTGGCTTTGGTTTCCTTGTTGTAACCCCTCTGCACTGTCCAAGCCTGTGTAGCTGAGTGGAGCTATCATGCCAGATTCAAGTACCACAACAGGTTGGACTGGGATTCAAAGTTAGTCAGAAAACCAGAGCCCACATGTTTGAAGCTCATTGTGCCTCACAAGCCTTTTATCTTGTTCTGGGCCTTTGATATTTCTGTCCCTGTGTCCTTGTTTCCATCCTGTAGCACAGGGTGATATTTTCATCCATAGCATTCATCAGGAGTATGTCAGAGTGGAACTAAAATGGTTAACTATGTTTAGAGTGAAGGTGTTTCTTTGAGTCTGTCACATGAAATTACAGCAGAGAGATGGATCCAGCCTTGATTGTAAAGTCATTTCTTTGTAGATAGATGAAGAATTGCTTGGTTTGTAGCAGTTGATTGAAGGACATAATTGCACTATGGAGAAGCGCTCACACTCACTTTATCATCCAGGTGTGGACCCAGGTTCTAAAAAATGTGGAAATGCATCTGAATAAAATACTGCAGGGGAAAGTTTGAAATTTAATAGGAGACTTAGGAAGGGTGATTCTGACCACATTGGTAAGTGCCAATCTGAAGCATCTGGCACTGGCCTCTTCTGAAGGCAAACAATTGGAATAGATGGCCCAAGGTCTGATCTTTGAGAGCAACTCCTTATGTTCCTGAATGTGCCATAGTAAGTCAAAGACTCTTTAGCATAGAAAATGTGTCTGGACAAGAGTCCACTTGATTTTAATGTACAGATACATTCCTGGTTGGGAGTGGTGAGATCAGCACCCCATCTCGCTTATGGCTTTGCTACCTGGGCTGTGCCTGGTGGAAATACACTCTCCTATAATGTAGTATCATCAGTGTTATACTGAAAGAGCATACAGGAGCAAACAGCACTGAGCACATCTTAGCCTGTCCTGAGCTCCCGCCTCTCCCTGGATGAGGAGTGAGAGCTCTGGGGCTCACTCAGAGACTCTCTCTCTGCAGATACCAAAAGATCTGCTGGTTCAGCGAGCTGGGTGCTAGGTCTGGGCTGAGTTCCCTAACTGTCCTTATGATGTGGAGCGGTATGCACAGGACGATTTGGACAGGACTGGATCTGTTTAGTACATTCTGAGACCACTGTGGCAGACCCCCAGATCAGAGATCCTTCCTCCAGGATGGCTTTCCCAGTGCTCTGAACTTGCCAGCCAAGTAAGAATTTCACTGTGTTCCACACTGTTTCTCCATGCAGGATCAAAGCACCAGGGAGCCCTGATAGCTGGCATTCTCATCCCATTACTCCTCCTATTACTCTGTGTCACCTGCTGTTGCTGTTGCTGTGGAACCAGCCAGTTGGATGCCAGAGACAGGTATTACTGAAAAGTGTCAGGTGCTGTAGAAATGTAGCGGCAAGGAGAAGAGCCACCTGTCTTGGGCCCATTGCTTCTGAAAGGCCCTAGAAGCAAGAGGAACCTTTTCTGGACAGTTAAAATTAGCCTCAAGACATATAAAGAGTCATTAGCATCTTCCTTGGGTTCTGTTGCCTGACAGGGAACTACTTCAAAATTTCATGTTTCTTCATTTTACTTTTACTTTTTTAACTCATGTAGCTCTGTATACAGGATAAATCAGCCCATGACTCAAACTGCATTAGCTGATAGGTTGCAGGACTTGGTCAGAAATGGGGCTGCCACATGTGCAGGCTTCTCCCAAACTGATTCCAACTCCATTTCCCAGCAAGACAGGAGTGAGCTTTGTTTAATTGGAAAGCCAGTCATCTCTGCCACACATCTCTGTTCTTTCTTTCCAAGGATGGCTGTTGCTGATGGTGATGCGGTCTCCAGAATGAAACATCATGTGCAGGGGGTGCTGGCAAATCTCAGCTCCATGTTACCTTGCCTCTCACTGAGTGGCTACAAACTCCCCCGAGTCACAGGTAAGAACAGGATTATTAGCACTGATCCCTGATTGATGCACTCTTTATTATGCCCTGCTTTGTCTGTGTCTTCAGAGTTCTTTAGGGTAGGAACTGTATCTCTCCATTTGTATTGTAAGTGCCATTGCAAACGAGCAAGCTGTGCCAGCCAGATACCAGGTGACTGCCCCATGGAACATCCCTGGTACAGTACAGACTAGAACACATGTAGACCAGCATGTGATCCTGAGAGCTGGATTGCTTCTTCCTCATAGTCTTGCTTCCCTTCCAGTCTCCCACCATGACACAGAGATTCCCTTCAATCCCAGCTTCATTGAACCGCCTTCTGCTGCCTGGGCCTCAGACAGCTCCTTCTCCTCTTCCTTTGACACGGACGATGAGGGCCCAGCCTACTGTGTCCCTGCCAGAGAAGGTAACGCTGCCCAGTTGCTTCACCATTTCCTTAAGGCTCATTTTCAACTCTCCCTCCCAGTGGGACAGAGGCCCTTTGCTCAGGGTGAATTTCATTCCATGTGTACTTGGGGGAGGGATTTGCAAGGGACTTGGGTTACACACAGGCACCAATTATTTTTAGTTCCTTATTTTCCTTTCCGTACAGGGAGGCTGAGCTCTGTTTCTGGCCTTCCCATCAGTTTAGTGTGAAATGGAAATATGCTATTGTATGTCCCAGAACTACATGTCCTCAGAAAAGTGCTGATTTTACAACGCACTCCCTCAAATAAGTTCAGAGCTCATTGCAGCTGTTTGTGCTTCCATGGCTGCCCCAGTTAAGACACCCCCACCTCCCCTGCCCTGGGCTCCCTGTGGCATCAGTGTGTAAAAAGCTAACTCAGCACCTTTGCCCACCATCCACTCTCATAAATCTAGAATCAAGTCTGGGAGTAAAGAAGGCAGTGCAACCCAAATGGTGCCAGTTCTGGATACTCTAGTCCCTAGAAGCCCTCAGTCATGGTGAAGAGGATAAAGGCCACATGCTCTAACCTTGAGCCCTGAACTAAGGAGAAGCCTGTTGGTGTGCTGGTGACTTAGTTCTTGGAAGCCTGTGTAGCCAAGGGAGAAGCAGCCTAACCCCCCTTTCCTTCCTTCTTCTCCAGATGTTCCTGCAGTGGCAGGCTTTGAGCTTCAGGAAGGCAGCTCCAAGTGTCATGAATTTCCTGACGCATCAGCATTTAACTCCGAGGACGTCTCCCAGCCTTTCACCATCCCCCGCACATCCAGCATTGCCAGAGCCAAGAGGCCCTCGGTGTCTTTTGCAGAAGGAACTAAATTTGGCCCTCAGTGTCAAAGAGGTCCCATGGAGACACCAAATACCACTCGGAAGCCCAAAGCCCCCTGGGGTCTCACCAAACTTCCCTCTCACCAGCACCATGCTGACCCAGAGGAGGGGCCCCAGCAGGGTGGGTCGCCAGGTGACTGTTACGAAAACCCAGAGCCCATCTCCGAGGCTGAGGATAGCCACCGGCCCTCCCCCAGGGGTACCCCAGGAGGCCATAGGATGGCAGTGTCCAGTGGCAGTCATGTGGCCCAGAGAGTCGAGGCCCTTGAGTCAGCTTTGAATCCAAACACTTTGGATGTTAGGGGGAAGGAGCAGAATGTCACAACCATTTACGTGACTGTGGGGACAGCAGGGAAATCCTCCAAGCCCAATGAGAGTGCCAATGGAAGCAGAGAGGGGACAGTTCAGGCTGTACTGAAACGTTTGGGTAGCTTCCAGAGAGTAAAAAGGGCTTTCAGGGAGGAGCCCATGGTGAGGAAAAGTACTGAGAGCATCCAGAAACCTCCCCGCAGGGCCCTGGGCCCAGAGAGGGACTCCAGAGACCTGTTCCCCCAGCCAGCCCCTCCACACAAGGACAGCTCCAAGACAACAGGTCTGGAGCCCTGTGAGTCACCTGCGCTCCTTACAGATAGACACCAGATAGATGTTCCTGTGAAGAGAGAACCTCTCATCCCCACATCTCCTATATTTGAAAGACTAGTGGCTCAGGAAGGAGAAGATGGGGTTACAGGGGACCCCAAGAAGAGTGAAAGTCTTGAAGAGGCCAGAAGCCTAGAAACAAATGAACAGACTGTTGTTGAGGAGGAACCCAAATATGAAAATGTGTCTCCAAATCGCTGTCCTTCAGACGAGCCTCCTGCCACCTCCCCTGACTGTGCGGCCAACACCTGAAAACCCACCCAGGACCCAAATCCTGCCTCTGTTTCAGAACGGTGACAGTCATCACGATGGAGCTGTGGCCACAGGGGGCAGTGTTCCTTGCAGGGCAGGCCACGAGTTATTGAAGAGTGCTAGGTCTGCAAGATGTCTGGTATTAGAGGGAACCCAGAATTTCACCTCCCAGACATGCCACATGAACTAGATTATTGTCTAGTGTTACCATTAAATCTCTGTGTGTCCCGCAGGGTCAGGTTCTGCATTGCATGTTAATATGTTCAAATGAGGCAACTTGCTGTGAGTAGCAGTGTTACCTAATGGGGCCACAGAGATGCCCTCTTGAGTTCCATGTTAGTCTTGCCATGAATCATTACCAAGGAGGTACTGTGCTGCAGGCAAGTCAGTTCAGGCACCTCCAATACAAGTAGATTAGTCAGAAGAAGTGATTGTACCTGACAGCATGTTTATTTGGTGACTGTGCTCTTAGCTTGCTGGGCTGACCAATAAGACAAGGTTATGTTTTAGGAAAATACCATCCATGTGAGGTTCAGGAGTCCGAATTACAGCGGAGTAACACAGACAGCCGATGCACGTGAGGTGTCACGCTCCGTGACAGGTTACCTCTCCTTCGAGTCAGGTACTTATATGGGCGCGTCACCAGGGGGGCACTGACCACTAGTGATGCTTCCTTTTGGCCGCCCTGGGGATTAGCTCTGGCCAGGCATTATGCCCTCCTCCGTCAGTGTCTCTCCCATTGTCCTCTTGCTGTCTGCCACTCAAGGGGCTCCCTTTTCATGACTTGGCCCTCCAGCCAAGTCACCATGTGTTTTCCCCCTTCCAGGGTGTGTGTATCAAAGTTCCTCCATATGAAATGGCAGTCTTCCCATTACTGCTGAAACCTGCCACTCCTCCAGTGGCTGGTAGGGGGACCCGGGCCCTCCCTCTACTCTGGTTCCCAGCTCAGGGGCCCTCTCATTGGCAGCGAGTCTGACCTACCTCATACTTTTGTGGCTTTTTCCATGAGCCTTGCTTACCTCTCTGCGTTTGCCAGCCCAAACTCCCCCCTCCCACTGAGTAACTGTAGGGTACTTGCCTCTAGCCCCAGACACACCTCCCTTCTCCCAGGGAGTGACTGCAAACTCCTTCCCTGCAGCCGCCTTTCTGCTGCCAATTTCCTGGCTGTATAGCTCCAACCCAGCTCCTTCCTCCTCAGCTGGCCTTCCTCATTCAGTCAGGGGATTGCTTAGCAACCTGACCCCCCAGTTGTGGCTTGTTGGGTTACACAGGGAGTCTGTGGCAGAGCCAGGGCTTGAACCCAGGTCTTAAAACCAGCCTTCCTACCCTTACCGGTTACAGTGGTCTCTTCAAATCCTTGCCAGGCTCCAAAACCAGATCTGCAAGGACAGTCTTGCCTGCAGCCTCCCATTGCTCTTGGTAGAAAACAGAGGGCTCAGTGATCCTGCCCCACTCCCAACTCTCCTTGTCAGGCAACACACTGAGCAGAGCAGACTTTATGCACAAGCAAAGAAAGTGTCTGCTTGGGGCTTGAGTCCTCTAGCCCCACATGCTAACGGGACTTGGCAGCTCCCAGGCCAGCTCTATCTTCCTCCCTTGCAGGAGGAAATAACACACTGCTAGCCCCTGTTATCAATATGCTTATGAGGGCAGGGAGCAGTGACTTGGCTCCCTATTCAGGGAGCTCACAAACAGAGCCTGACTGGTGCTGAGAGTGCCATGGTCGTCATTGCCCATTTAGCCCATGGGACCCCTGCAGAGAGCAGCACCCACACCTCCCTCCCTGACTATTGTCAGTTGCTCCCCACAGGGGACTCTTTCTGACTCAGCAGCACTGATGGGACCAGCTGAAAATCCTAAAATTAGAAGCAGTGCCAGTGGGGAAGTGGGACAGAAAGACACCCTGCAACCAGTTCCTGCCACTGAGCCCAGACTGCCATGTCACAAAGGAGCTGGGACTGGACTCCTGAAAATCCCCAGATGGAGAACATAGCTGGGGCTGTGAGCATAAAAGCTCCAGGGACTTGGGAGAATGTTTCCAGAGAGCAGCTTTCTGTGGGGCACTTGGGTCACATATGAATGATTCTGGGACCCCAGGAAGTGTTTCCCCCTCACCTCATGGTGTTTTCTATCTTGCCAGTGCTGTCTTGCTGAGCGATGCATTTCAGCCTTTAGGTGCAACAACACTACCTTTGGGCTAAGATGTGGTGGGAAGGCAGCTGTCTGTTTCCCCCAAGATCTCACAATGTAGCCATTATACCAGCTGTGCAGTAAAAAATGCTCCATTCCCCTGCTCCCCTCTGAGGCATTATTGCCACTGTGGGCATCAGTCAAGCGGGCTGTGTGTGCTTCTCCTGCCAAGGGAGCAGGCCCCTCCCTGCCGTCAGCACTGGGGAGCACTCCTGCAGGGCATACTGGCTCACAGAGTAGCTCTCTGACTCACACGCTGGGGATTGTGTACAAGTTCTTTTGTGTTAATGCAGTGAAGGAACCTTCAGACAACACCTGCAGCTGAGTTACAGGGACAATGCAGAGAGCACGTGCACTAAAATGTCTAATAAACAGAAAACAGGGGTGATGGTGACTCTGCTTCTGCATCCATTTCTTAGCAGTAATCTAAAACAACTCTTCATGGCTTATGAGTCCTGAAGTCACCTCTCCCCCAGAACTCACCCCACACAGGTAGCAGCCTTCTCATTAGTTGGAGAATGCTACATGGCATCCCTCTACATACAGGGAGATTTCCCCTAAAGTGGGTTTCTCTTATCAGTCAGTCCATGTCATCTACATGCAGCATATCTAAAGCAGCCTCAGTGGAATTAATTTTAGCAGCTTATCTACAGAGAATATCTGGGTTTGTGCAAATTTATCAAACTACTTTGGCTTACGTGGAAGGATCTAAACATATTAATTTCTACAGCTACACTTAATGTATTAAAAGGTCCATGCTATAATGTAGAGTTTATGTGCAGGTTTCCAATATACCAAGAAACCTGCACTGACATGCAAGTGTGAAGGAACCTTACAGCAAATGTATTGTAGTGGTCTGACTCTAACAGGATTTGTAAATTTAGTGCTGAAGGAAAATATTTTACCTTTCCTGACTAGCATGAAGAGTCCATGTAGAAAGCAGCATTGCCAAAGTTTCTCCAAACCATTAACTTCTATCCAATGGGGAAATTGTAATTTCAATTCCCTTAATTACAGCTTTAAACCATACACTGCCAACAAATGCCTCAAACATGACACCCTTACACCTGGGCAATGAGGTAGTCCCACTTGGGTGGACGGGACCAGCCCTGTGCACTCAACAGGCAACGAGCAAGATGAGATGGGATGAGGCAATCCTCAGTGCTAAGGGAGCTAAGAGTGGCTCAGAAAAATAGTTTATTTGATTCCCTGAGTAATGAGATTTGGTGTTAGGCACCTTGAGAAATACTTGAAACTGGTTCTAATTCAAGAAGCCAAGTCTTAAAGAGCATTTATAGCACTGAGCTGGGTTTGGGTTGATTTGTCTAATGTGGTTCTTGCATGTTTTCTTGTGTTAATCTGAGTGATGTGGAGGCCTCTGAATGTAAATAGTTCTTAATTAAGCCTAAAATGAGCTCAGTTCCACAAAAACAAAGACAAAACCAAAAATAGTCTCAGAGATTTAGGGTGACTCAGCTCTGCTGTTCTATGCATTGTTTCAGCTTCTGGTTTGTTTAATTCTTAAATTTAATTTATAAATCTGAACATGCAGAGACAACAATAGCACTAAAAACAGAGGGACAGGTTGGGAATGTCTCAGCATGAGTAAATTGCCAGCTGTACCTCATTTATTAATCCTTATGCTGATCTCAGTGATCTGAAAGTCATTGATTTTGTCTTTGGACCTTCAAGGTTAAAATGCTTTCAAATAGTCAAAGTTTGCGAACAGATTTGGTCAGAGATTTTAGTTGTTTTTCTTTCTAGTAGAACATCTCCAAACCGGAGAGTACTTGTGTGCCTTGGATCCATTATTTCCTCATTGGTGGTTTTGGAAAATTCTACATCAGGGTGTTTCAGTTTTGAAACTAATAGTTGTATTTTTTTAAAGTGCCTTTGCCATATGCCCTGTAGTCTGCCTGACAAGAATTGTAGCCACATCATCTAGGGTTTGTGCAGACAGAATGTAATGTTATTCCAGTAGAATCCTAGATTTGCGCATGCCCCATGTGGTCAAGTCCCTTTTTGGTAATTATTGGCTTCTGCTTTTAAGGTATTTTATTACAATGGCAGAAATGCATCAGAATAAGCTGTATATACAGACATTTTTCTAATCAGAGTGGGATATTTATATCCAGTGAGCGGAGTTATGTTTTTACTCTGATGCCAGAAATTAATCTCATGTGACTTAATTCACTGCAGGTACTGTGTGTACAAAGTAGCTGCCAGCAATTAGACTGTCTTTCCTGTCAAGCAGACAACTATCAAGCTTGAAGAGATCTTTACCATGATAGGAATGTGTTCTGTGTTCAAGAATCTACATTTGCTAAGCTTGGTGTTTCCCAGATAAGATGCAAGGACACAGAGTTATTGTGTCTCCTCTTGCTCATGTCTCAACAGCACATGGTGGAGAGGAGAGAGGTAGATTTTCTGTGCACACTTTCCATATTCTTTCTAAAGATAGTTCTAATGTCATTTTGCCAGTGCTTGTATGCTGCATGTAGGAGACCTATAGCCCAGAACCCCTGGGTGGGCAGTACTAGTTCCTTATGTGGCTCCTTTTTGTTATTCTGGCTCTGATCCTACAAATTACATCAACAGTTTTTTTTAGTGATAGTCAGTCAGTGACAAGTAGCTACCCAGATAAACAAAGCTGTGTTGGTGTTCTCTGCTATTGGAGCAATTGAAAGGTTTTTTATTTGGTTGGCATTACAGTGATCACTTTAACAGAGTGAGGGACTCAGAGGCACAAAAGGAGCAAAGATGAGTTGAATCCTGAGCCTAACCTTTCTTAGGATAACCCTCCAGTGGACTCATCTCCTTTCATGCAGGCACTCAGCTACTATGGTGATGAGCATGGTAGGAAAACCTACTAGACAGAATTATTTTGCTGTGTTCACACCGGTTACAAAACATCAGGGATCTTGATTTCAGTGCATTATCCTCCTGCTTTCTTCTTTCCATCAGTGACAGCAGCCTCTGAGCCAGAGGTGGGCAAACTACGGCCCAGGGTCCACATCTGGCCCTCCAGACGTTTTAATCTGGCCCTCAAGCTCCCACCGGGAAGCGGGGTCTGGGGCATGCCCTGCTGCAGTCGGGGAGCGGGGTTGGGGTATTGCCCCACTCCGCATAGCTCCTGGAAGCAGCGGCACGTCCCCACTCTGGCTGCTACGCATAGGGGCAGCCAGGGGGCTCTGCAGCCCCCACCCCAAGCACCACCCCCGCAGCTCACATTGGCCGGGAACCGCAGCCAATGGGAGCTGCACGGGGTGGCGCCTGCGTGCAGGACAGCACACAGAGCTGCCTTGCTGCACCTCCTTATAGGAGCCAGAGGTGGGACATGCCGCAGTTTCTGGAAGCTGCTTGAGGTAAGCGCTGCCGGGAGCCTGCCCCCTGCCCCAGCCCTGATCCCCCTCCCGCCCTCTGAACCCCTCGGTCCCAGCCCAGAGCACCCTCCTGCACCCCCAACTCCCCAGTCCCACCCCAGAGCCCACACCCCCAGCTGGAGCTCTTACCCCAACTCCAATTTCATGAGCATTCGTGGCCCACCATACAATTTCCATACCCAGATGTGGTTTATCCATGATTCAAAGATATCCAAGTACTTGCCTGCAAAAACGCACCTACTAACAGGGACTGGCAGATGATCTTGCCAAGAAAACCAGGTTGGCATCAGAACAATCTACTGTAGTAGCGAGCCACCTGGCCTGTTTGCCTTAATTGAGAATATAATGCCAGCCTGCTTGTCCTAAGTTCAGAAACAACCCTGGCATGTATGGAGCACTGACTTCCTCATAGACACATGCTAATGACAAGCAATGGGAGACACCAGGCTGCTGTCAGATTCTCCAGATCAATACATGATTTGGGTAGAAGGCCCTAAGAAAAGTAACGTGAAGGTGGATGGATCCTCCCTGCTGATTCTTCCTGGGTCCTGAGCCTGGCTGCACAAAGGAGAAGAATTTACTTAATAATATTAAAGAGGTCACTGATGAAAATGTGTCTGAAGCAGTATATGGACAAGGGTGGATGGGAGATGGAATAGGGAGAAGACATGGTTGTTTGGATATAAACTCTGCAAAATTTTAGATAATTAAAAAGACAATATAAAAAATAGTGTAGACAGGGCTTTGGCGTCTTTACCACTGCCTTACCAAGCTTTGCTTTGAGCCATGATTAGGCGACACAGTGGACAAAGGCATGTACCTTGTTTGCCATAGTACTTGTCCTGTTACTAGTACTGGTGGAACTGCATGGTGCTGAATGTTGGGTCCCCTTCACAGAGCACGTGTATCTGTAATTTACTACCTGGGTATGTTGGGAAGCAGATTCTCACCATATGATATAATACATTTTTTATATATCACTTGCATACACATGCTGATACACAGACTTGTTCAATCCAGCCACAGCTACCCTGGAAGGAAATTCCATCTCATCTTGTTAGTCTGGACTTTCTCCAGCAGGTGGAGTAAGCGCAGCAGTAACTCAGAGGTAGGTGCCGAGTAGCTACTACTGTATTCCATTTAGACTGCGGTAAAAGAAGCTTCCCTGGTTGGTAAGTCTGATCATCTTACAAACACACCCTCAATATTTTTATTTTGTTACAACTAAACCATCATAATGTGACAGATTAAAAGTTTGAAACTTTAAATTAAAATCTGGTTTCTTAATGGGTTCAGGATTGGGCCCAGCATGTGTAAACCGTACAGGGGGAACAGTTCTTTAAAGTCAGTAGGACTTTTGCTATTGATTGAGTTGAGAGCAGGCCTACTGGCTTGCCACTATAGATTTACATAGAGCTGTGATTCAATACTGAAATTTTCTTTATAAAAGCATTATGTTTGAAACCCACCCTCTACCCCTCCATATGTGTAAAGAATTCCAACCTTGCAAACAGAGATATGAAGAAAAGGATAGGCCAAATTTTAGTTCTCCCAACATGAAATGCAACTCAGCATTACAAGGCTGCCTGAATGTGACAGTTTGAATGAATTTTATGTATTCAAGATAAATGAAAATAGTTACATGGGACTCAGAAAGCACTGTGTTATATCAGAAAACAGGAGTAAAATTTTGTTAGATAAAGTGCTCAATGTACATAAATG